GCTCTTCCCGCCTTGCTGCCCGCCCTCCGCGACTACCGCCGGGCTACCGAGGCGGGGGCCTTGCTGGCCATCGAGTTCACCGGGCTGACCGAGTACCTGGCGCTGCTGCGAGCCGCCGCCCGCGCCCTGGCGCCCTTCGGTACGGGGAGGGGAACGGCGTGAGGGGACGAGGTGGCCCCGGGGGCCGTGTGGCTCTGGCCTGAGGGGACAAGGTGGCCTCAGGGACCATAGGGCCGAGGCATGAGGAGACAAGGTGGCCCCAGGGACCGTGTGGCTCTGGTCTGAGGGGACAAGGTGGCCCCAGGTCTCTGGTGTGAGGGGACAAGGTGGCCCTGGGGACCATGGGGCTCTGGCCTGAGGGGACAAGGTGGCCTCAGGGACTGCGGGGCCGAGGCGTGAGAGGACAAGGTGGCCTCAGGGACCATAGGGCCAAGGCATGAGGAGACAAGGTGGCCTTGGGGCCAAGGTGTGAGGGGACAAGGTGGCCCCAGGGACCGTGTGGCTCTGGCCTGAGGGGACAAGGTGGCCCCGGGTCTCTGGTGTGAGGGCACAAGGTGGCCTTGGGGACCATGGGGCTCTGGCCTGAGGGGACAAGGTGGCCTCAGGGACTGTGGGGCCGAGGCGTGAGGGGACAAGGTGGCCCTGGGGACCATGGGGCTCTCGCATGAGAGGACAAGGTGGCCCTGGGGCTCTGGCGTGAGAGGGCAAGGTGGCCCTGGGACCCAGGTGTGAGGGGACAAGGTGGCCCCAGGGACCATGGGGCCCAGGTGTGAGGGGACAAGGTGGCCCCAGGGCTCTGGCATGAGGCGACAAGGTGGCCTGGGTACTGCGGAGCTCTGGCGTGAGGGGACAAGGGGGCCTGTGGGGGCTCCAGCACCCTAGCATATGAGGGTCTGGGCCGTTCCTGGGGGCTTGGCGTGAGGGGGTGAGGCGGCCCCGGTGGGTGACAGTGTGTCTGAGGGGACCCCAGTGCGTGGGGTCAGCGCTGCCCTGCGCAGGACAGTGCCGGTAGGTGACGGGGGGTCTCTGAGGGGGGCCCTGGGCTCCCCTAGTTGGTGTGAGGGGGGCCCAACCGGCTCTGGTCTGTCCTGGGGGTCCCTGGGGTGAGAGGGCCAGGCTGCTCCGTATGTGCCAGTGGCGGTGGCTGACTGCAGTTGTGTTTCTCGCAGGCTCCAGCGTTATGTTTTACCTGGCAGCCGCCGTGTCGGATTTCTACATCCCCGCCTCGGAGATGCCCGAGCACAAGATCCAGTCCTCGGAGGGGCCCTTGCAGGTGAGGCACCCCTGAGCATGGCCCCGCTCCTCCCCTCCTCCCACCCTGACTGTCCCTGCCGGTGTCACAGCTGCCTGGGGACTGGCTGTGGATATGACCTGGGAAAGGCTGCGAAGCAACGGCTCGCTGGCTAAAAAAGCGTGCGTTTTCTCTGGGAATGGGCGGATGTGTTTCCATGGGAGCAGAATCCCACGGAAATATCCCTTTAAAGCTGTAGGTGCTTACAGCATGAGGAGATGGTGGATCTCGGATGGATGAGGAGATGGTGGATCTCGGATGGATGAGGAGATGGTGGATCTCGGATGGATGAGGAGATGGTGGATCTCGGAGAGCGGAAGAGTAGTTGCTGCTGGAGTGCTCGTGTTGCCGTCTTTTTAACGCTGCCAACAGCCCAAAAGTGTAGCGTGTCTCATGCCCAGATCCCTTTCAGCTATGGGAGCAGGTGGAGCTAGAGCTCTGTATATAACAGACACCAAATTTGTTTAGTTTAATTAGCTTTTAACAAGTTGCTGGGCTTATTTCTTTATCCTTAGCATAGGTAAAATGAGGCCCTGCCCGCTTCCCAGTCGCAGACCCAGAGGTTAAGAAGCTGGAGAACAAAGGCTCCTACTTTTTTTTCCCCCCATGCCTTGGCATGTTTATGCTTCATGTGCCTTCAAGATTTGCTAGGAAGAAGGATTAAGGTTTGACAAGGTGCCTGGAGTTTGGAGAGCTGAAAACTCTGACTTCTGCTGTTTTAATTCCTTTTTTTTTATCTTCCTCTGCTTATGTTTACGTTCCCGGATGGGGTTTTAGCTCTTAAATAACAAAATGTTTATGCAGTTACTGTGGGCCTGCTGAAGAACACCCTCCTTATTGTTAATACCAGACTGATGATTTAATTTACTTTTACAGTGCATGCCAATGACATTTTAACCTTGTTTGGTGAGATCTGACCAAATACTGCCTTGGAAAACTTCCCAGTGTAAAAAGTCACGTGAAATGGAGCTGGAATTTCCCTAGTCCCCCCCCCCGCCATCTCTTATTAAAATGCATCGTAATGTTTTTACTGAAACTTTTCTCTGTGGTCTTTCCCCGATGTAGATCACAATGAAGATGGTGCCAAAAATGCTGTCTCCTCTCGTCAAAGAATGGGCCCCAGAGGCATTTGTTATTTCCTTTAAACTGGAGACGGATCCCTTGATCTTAATCGATAAATCACGGCAGGCTCTGGAGAAATATCGTCACCAGGTGGTGGTAGCGAATATCCTGGAGTCGCGGAGAACCTCCGTTATTATTGTCACCAAAGACTCACAGACTCCGTTATCTCTTTCCGATGAGGAAATAGCGCAAGGCATGGAAATAGAGGAAAAGATAGTGAGCTATCTTCAGGGCCAACATACCGCATTTATAGAGAAGAAAGTCTGAGGACCGGCTCTGAATGAAAGAAGTGAAATTGTGCTAGAGAGGCAGCGGAACCGGAGCGATTCTCTACCCCAGGTAAATAAAACAGTCCTCAGTGAAACGCTGTGGGAAAGGCTGCCGTCCAAAACCGTGTAACTTTTCCACAGCTTGGTAATGGTTCTTGTTGCTTGCTTTCAAAAAGAAAAATACACTGAAGTGAAAACATTCCGAAGGATGATATTTGTTCTAGTGTCTAACGAAGGAAAGGCTGTCTTGCTTTGTTTCTGTCCCGTGGGCTGGGAGAACCGGGAGGTGGAGAAATGGTGTATATGTCTGTATATAAAAGATTTTCTTGAATCCGCCTCTTCGAAGTTTCTTTTTGAATTGTCGGACGGAAGATGTTCTGGTTTTGTGGCTGGAGTGGAGCGCCAGAGCTGGCGATCGGCTGGTATTGAAAGCGGACGGTGAAGCAAACGTGGCAAAGGGTGATGGAGAAAGGAGGTAACAACGTTGGAGAGGGCATCTCTTGCTCCGCGGGAGATCCGGGGGACCTACGCTTCAACAACTCTGCTCAGAAACACCGTTCAAAAAATAGGTACTGTAGCGGTGTCCCTAAAGCAGCTGTTTCACACAGGTTTTCCTTCCTTGGGGGGTGTTACAGGGGGATAACGGCAAGGGGAGACGTGGCATGGAGCACGAGTGGTCTCTGAGCGTGGCTTGGGGAGAGGCGGTTGGAGGAGGGGAAGGCCGGGTGGGTGGCAGCGATCGGCCTTGGGAGGAGACCGGCCTCGTGGCCGGTTGGGTGGAATGAAAACGGGAGCCAGGTCGAGCCGGGACGTTCCTGGTTTTCTCTAAATCTAAAGCTTTACCAACTTCGAAGCGTGTATTCCTCATGCTTACAAGAAGCAAAGTGTGCAGTTCCGTGGTAAAAAACACCCTTAACTGCAGCTCTAGCGCTGTCCGTTGTGTGTCCGTGTACATGCTTTCCTTGAAATAAATTCACTGGAAGTCTGTAAAAAAAAGACAGTAACGCGCAAGAACGCAGTTCTCACCCTTGACGCCTCTCCAGAGGCGAGACTGTGCTCTCTTTAAAACCACCGAGCATTCACGAAGGCAACGGTGCTTTTGTAACGACACCGATGGCCTGAAAATTAGGCGTGCTCATAAAATGAGGAGAAGAAACCCAGAAGAGCGAGCAAAAGAGCGTGAGGGTGGGCTCAGCGGATCAGCAGGGAGCGCCGGATGCTAACGGGCTGTTACGGTGTGCGGGGAGGATGTGTTTAGGGATGGGAGGAGCGGTCCGGATTAGTCCGGAGTGCTGAGATCCAGCCGGTAACTGAGTCAGGGGAAGGAACGAACAGTTTCTGTGTGGCCGGGACTGATATTTGCGGAAGGGGGAGGGGGAGCGGAAGCGGAGCCCGGCCGTGGATGTGGGACGTGCCTGTCGGAGAGGTGCAAACGGGGAAGGAGAAGATGGGGGAATGTCCCGCGCACGTGTTGTATGCGCTCCGAGAGCTGCCTGCCTTCAGCTTCCAGTACGTAACGCGTGTGAGCACCGAGCCCTGCTGATTTAGGGGTTTCCGCTGCCTTTATTTGGAGTTCTGCGCTGACAAGCAGGAGCGGGCCCGCAAAGACGAGAATATAAAAACTTGTGCGAGTTGAACGCGCCCTCGCAGGACCGTTAGAACAAGGGGCGGGAGACGCGCGACAAACGCCGCCTTTGGAGTATTCTGGCCTTTCTCTGGAAGGTGATCGTGAAGGAGAGAAATAATCTTGACTTTTCGAGGAGAAAACTCGGGCATCGCCTGTCTCGGACCCGCGGGAGGCTCAAGGGGCCGCGCCGTTCGAGTGGGGAACGCGGCCGCGGGCTTCCCCGCCTGGTGCCTGCTCCTCCTCCTCCTTCGGGAGGGTGGCGAAGCCCAGGTTGGGGAGACTTTCCGAACTCGGACGAAGCCACCGCCCTCCCTG